TCCTGGAGTTGAGCTGGGAGATGCAGTCATGGTGGATGGGGCCCAATGTGCTGGCTCCAAGGTCCAAGGACTCCAGAGCCAGCTTGCACAGAATGTGATCATGCGAGCAGACTTTGCCCTGCCTGGCAGGCGCTGAGCCACTCCTTACAGCATCCTGGACACAGTCCGCGCTGCACTGGAAGCTGAACGAGAACCCGAGACCATGCAGAAGTGACTTTTAAAGGCCTTTCAGTGCTCGCTAAGCCACCGTTTCGGCAGGGGTGGCAAGCCTCATTTTAAGCAAACACCCTTGTAAGAGGCCCGCGGTCCCTCCGCTGTGCGCTTGAGGGGCCACCTGGACCAGCAGGGGGACAGCTTTGAGTGACAGGGGCCTCCTCCAGGCAGCACCTGCAGAGCCCTGCTGACGCCCTCAGATCCACAGGGTGACTTCTGAACAGGTAAGAGGGGGTAGAAATACTTAGGTACAAATGAGGAATTAGAACTACACCGCCTTTATTTGTTGCAAATGAGAAACCGCTTAGGTGGCCCGAGTATGCCATAAGAACATTTCTTGCACGTATTTCTAGCAAGTGAGTTCTGCTAAATAACTGGGGTGGCGTTTCTTTTTAAAATACTTAGAATTCAGTAGGAACCCCCAAGGGAGCTGATGCCAACTTTGTGGCATGTTTTACTTAAGGAGCAAATGAAAACTGACCGAATTAAACAGAGAAACCAAGTGCATCCGTTTGCAGCATCATAATCCCAAATATTAGTTCATTTACCAAATTGCAAATCAAATTCAAGTCTTCACCACAAGCGACAGAATCCGTTTGAATGGGACTGGAAATTATGTTTGACAGGAAATTAATAGACTAACTCAGTGGAGTGGAGAAAACACTGGTTTTGGATTCAGAATACTGGGTGTCAACGTAAGAAACATTCAAACCTGTAGAGAATTTTTGTGAGTTTAATGAGCCAACTGTCAACAGTTGCCAGGAAGCAAAATCTCACGGGGTGGAGATGATGCTCCGTGTCAACAATTGCCAGGAAGCAAAATCTCAAGGGGTGGAGATGATACTCCAGAGAACTGCCGTTTAGCTCAGCGGTCGCCAGCCTTTCGGACCTCGCGCACCACCAGTGGTTTGTGGACCGACAGTTGGCGACCACTGGTTTAGAAGATGTAAGTGGGTTACATGAAACCCATTGGTGATAGGCTAGGAGGCGAGAGAAAGCAAGAGGGGGGGCGTACCTCGGGAATGGATAAAAGTACAGTGATAAACACACAGGTGGGTACAGTATAGTTAACAGTCAACAATGATCAATGACAATGAGGGGATTTGTGGTCTCCCTGATGCCTGTGCTTGGAGGGGTCCTTTAAAAGGAAATTACTTTGACATTCCAAAGGTATGTTATCCTCAATGCTAACAGACAGGCGTAATGAAGGTGCAAATTGACCTTTGTCAGGGAAGGTTCCAGCCTAGGACATGACTACCCACCATAAGCTGCTTTCAGCTAGAGAGCTTTCCGTTCAGACCATCCTCTGTGGTTCCTTTCCGTCCCCGCGTTTGTAAGGCAACCTGAGCCTGCCAGGTCTAGTGTGTGGCCCCA